ACGCGTCTTTTTTGTTTTAAAACAAAAAAAAAAACAAATATATATATATATATATATATATATATATATATATATATATATATACACTTTAAATTTGATTTTATAATGTAAAATACTGAAGTTTACTGTGAATTTTAAGTGGATATTTTTATAGCGGGAAAATTAAATAAGCAAAAACAAGAAATTAAAAGGAAGGGAGGAATTTCTGTGTAAAATTACCATCGAGTTATGATACTTTGGCTTCCCTAATGACAAACATTAATACATCAATAACATTAGTCTTAAATCAGTGTTTTTGCATGTGACTAATAACTTGTATAAACAATTCTAAGGCAAAACTTTCTATGTTTGGGTTTAGTCAAACCTTCAGTTAACATTCGAAACAGGCAAATGACTTTGACAATTTACAACATTTTATTATGCGGCAAAAAGCTGTAAACTTTGAGTTAAACATTAAAATAATTTTGCCAGTGGGAACTTTATGACCAATTAAGAAGCAACTAGTACTAAAGATAACTTTTAGTTTAAGCAGTCCTCTATTGATCATGAGAAACTTGTGCATTGGTCTAATAAATACAACACTAAATGACTCACACTCTCCTTTTTTTTCTTTTTGCCTTGCAGTTGCCAGGTTAAATGGCTTCATGACCGGCACATGACTTTTACTGGACTGCAGAAGCACGTGGCTCATCTTCCTGCACACAAGTCTGGGTTTAGAGGTCAGAGGGCGTCAGCAGATACAGTCTTGCACTCTTCTGTTGGAGAAATTCAATGTGAAGCTACTGTTTGATCACTTTATTTTGGATTAGCTGCTGCAGTTTAAGTCTTTACTACTTAACTATTATAAATGTTCCGTGCAAAATAAGTGTGTATGTGACTCTGCGGTCTTTTCTTCAACAATTTATATACATAAGTTAAAAAAAATGCTAATTAAAATGTTTAGTTCTGAATAGAAGTGCAACAAACAATAGTTTCAGTCAACAAACTAAAAATTTTGTGCATTTTACTTTGCAGAATAACTGAAGCTTAGACAAATGTTGCAAAGAGTGTTTTAATATAAATGCATGATTTCCATTGTAGCTCTGAATCTATATTACTGGTTGTTGCTGTGCAGGAAAGTGAGCTTCTGTCCCAGTCAAGGATTTTCCTGCATTTATTTCCATCCATTTTTCATTGACTCTGACCAGAAAAGCATTCCTGCAACATGATGTTGCTACCACTGTTGGTATGTTTAGTGCTAGCTTTTTTCCACACCGTTTGCATGTAGTTTCATCTGACCAGAGCACCTTCTTTTCACCACTTTATTCCTTAGCTTGTCACAATAAATCAATTAATGCTTTGAATGTATTTTGAAAAATGCTGCAAACGTTTTAACACCCAATACAAAGTAGTTGGTTTACCCTGTTTTCACTGTCTAAGCTGAATGACTATTTTTAAAGACATTTTTGGTTACAGAGACATTATACTCCATTTTTTATACGGCATTTTTAAAGATATAATAACTGTGTGCAGTTTAGTGATATAAATCAAACTTTTTTTAAGTCAGTTTAAATTGTTGAATGTAATATTCATCATAATTTTAATCATTATCTCAATAGTACCACAAAATATCATGATTAAATTCTTCATATCGCCACCTCTAGTCACCATGAAAATATGACTAGATAATTATGTGTTAGACATTATTAGCAATACCTAAACACCAACTGTGAAGTCTTAAAAAAGGCAAACAAAAAAAGTTCTTTCAGTCGTTTCATCCTAATTAAAGCATCCAAAATGTGTTGATATTTTATCTGTGATTTGTCACTTTATTTGCTGAAGTTGTTGGCGTGTAGACCAGTAAAGGTGGTTACAGAGTTACTGGTGTATAAAAACAACTTATAATAAATTAACAATTCTTAGCCTGGTGGGAGAGCAAACAAAGCCTGGTGGCCCGCCAGGCTTATAAAACACTGAACTGGAGTTTATTGGGATAATGAGAAGTCAAAATTTTATCATGATTACCGTTATAACTAATGCCCACCATTGCTTCATAAAGCCTTTGTGAAACTATTGATCGAGGTATCAAAACGACTCGTCCGACTCCCTTGAGGATCTGTTTTTAAAAACGAACGCCATCCGATCGGCGACATCCTTCACACGGACCTGTGAGTGTGAGCGGCAGGTGTGAAAAGCAGCCAGCAGAGTATCATATAACCTTTTGACAAGTTGCTCAACAACAACAGGGCCTCCTTGTTATTATTGGGTCAACAGAGCCGGAGGAGGTCTTTGGGAATGGAGCGGCGGGGAGAACATGAAGCGACGGTTGTACGGCGCCCCGCCTCCCTCCCCGTGCTCCCAGGCTGGCCCGGGGGTCAGCGGGAGAACGCAGGCAGCCAGTCAGGCGGTCCAGCATTCTTTCTCAATGTGTGTGTGGGTTTGGCCGCAGCCCACTCGGTGCTCTTTGACTCCGCTGGCCTTATAAGGCATCCAGAGCCATGGCAACTGCAGGGCTTGAATAGCAGTGTCAAATCCCTCAGCACACAGACACACGCTCACTCTCCCTAAAGGAGGGAGCGAAGCGGAGGAAGAGGAGGCTATCTCTGCCGTGGCTCGAACAGAAAAGGAGCGCTCTGTGTTTTCGCTAATTTATTCCTGCCAAAGCCGGCTGGAAAAACCGGGGAAAAGGGCGATCAGAGAGGAGCGAGGAGCGCAGCAGTAAAACCCTGAGTCTGTGACAGCTGAAGCGGGGACGTTCTGGCCTCTGGATGTTACTGCAGGATGGACAAGCTCTGAGAAAACAAGACAACAGAGACATGACTTTGGGAAAGGGGAGCAGACTGTGACGGAGGAGATTTCTCAACTCAGCCTTTGTTTTGGCTTGTTTTTTTCTCTGACATTTGATCCTCTGACCCCATTGGCTTTGAAGGAGCAGAAGAAAACAGAGTTTCGTCACAGAGGGCAGAGCAGGAGGACGTCTTTGGTGAACTTTGCTACTCCAGAAACCAGCTGAGTCAGAAGAATTAGATAGTTTCCAAAAACAGAAAAGCAAAGGAATATAACACTTTTATTTCTTTTAGCCATCTGTGTGCATTTCTGAAAAAGCCTCAACAAGTTAAGCGTGCGTCTGGACTGGAAGAGCACAGATCAGAAGATAGCACCTCAGCACGGCAGGAACTGGTTGGACGAGTTTATAAGTCAGAGGAAAGGGCAGGGCAGTTTAACCCTGCCTGAAGGAGAACTGACTGGGTATTATTTTTCTATCACCTGCTGGACGCCTTGAGGGAAAGTGCTCTCCTGAAAGAGAAGAGAGGAGGCAGATTGTTTCCAATATCTGCGACTCTTTTCATCATGCTCAATCATAGGTGAGGTCCTTTCACAGCCGGGGTCGGAGAAAGCGGGTGAGAGGGAAAGGAGAAAGAGTCAAAGAGTAATTTATTGTTTCCTGTGAAAAGAGCAGGGCTGCACCCTTTACTCCTGCCTGAACTCTGAACCACTTAATGCGCGTCTGAAGTTTCTCTCCGAGCTCAAGAGCCATTGATCAGAGGTCAGGGCTGAACAAGAGGCGAGAGAGGGAGCGAGCAGAGGGATTAAAGAAGGGAGAGGAAAAATATCGCAGAGGAAGGACCTCCGGGTCAGGACTGCCAGACGGCGAAGGGGATAAAGGTCAACGCAGGCGAATCGGGACAACTTCGCCTCCTGTTTTCAGATCTTCCAGGACGAAGTTGCTCAAATCCGAACCAGGCGTCCCAACCTCGGAGTCTGAAACCAGTTCTTTAAACTTTGAAAGGGGGGCAACGTGAAACCCGGCTGAGACTGCGAAGGGTCCGTGTATGATCCTCTTACGGGGCGGCGCGTCTTTGAGAATATGGCCATGGTGAGCGGGGGATGGGGCAACCCCAACGGGGACACCAACGGGCTGGGAGACAAGGCGTACCTGAGGAGGGAGGAGGACAACGACTCGCCGCAGGCCGGCAGCAGTGACGTGGACGTGGGCGACGAGGACAAGACCTGCGTGGTGGACTGCGTGGTATGCGGGGACAAGTCCAGCGGGAAGCACTACGGCGTGTTCACCTGCGAGGGCTGCAAGAGCTTCTTCAAGAGGAGCATCAGGAGGAACCTGAACTATTCCTGCAGGTAGGAGCTGCTGGGAAATCCACCGTTCAATAGCATCAAATCGGTTAATCACGATTCATCGGGATTAATCTAAACTGATTTAGCAATCGATTAATCGTTAACTGGACTATAAAGACTGTAAAAAAGGCCGCTTGCTGAAAGAACACCCTCAGAGCAGTAATTATGTCATTTAGACATTTTATATTTAAGATAATAAAAAAACATTTGTCTGTAAATTTACGCCAAAATCTTACGAAGTATTTTTGACTAGTTTCTGGAGCAGATATCTTAGTACACTTGTTGAAATAAGACAAAACTAACTTACAAGTAACTTGTCAGCAAGATATAAAAGCTTGTTTTAAGTCTATAATTAGTAAATATTGATTAGAAAAGTGCTAGTTCTACTGGCAAATTGCATGTTCTACCCAGAACTCCTCAAGCGACTTTTAGCCTCACCGAATTAAGAGAGGGTATTTATTGTGTCGTGTATCGTGTATTGTTTATCATGTATTGTGATAAATTTCTTATAAACCCCCCAGATTTGTTTATATTGTTGGGATTGTTAATTTTAATCTTTTTTTCCCCACTTTGTTCAGTTAAGGTATAAATAAATATCAATAAATTTGAAAATATGTGTGCAGTTTAGTGATGCAAAGCAAACGTATTTATATGATTGGTGACTTAAAGAAGCATATTATAAATGTTAACGTTTGTCAAGAGCTGTGTTTGTGTTTGTGGAGCTATAATTGGTGTGCCATGCAGTCACAACCAGATACCGAAAAAGAAATGTAGAAAGCTCTTATTGTCACTTTAATTGTTATCACAATAGTGTTAACATTAAGTTCATATCGCCCAGCCCTGGTTACAATTCTGTAAATAAACAAAAAACATTCTGTTAAGCAACTTTTACTATCAAATTAATAATCAGTTAATGCAAAAATGATCAATTTATCTGGAAATAATCAAGCTTACACTAAATTTTAGGCACTAAAATGTTTATATTCTTATTTAAACAAGGAACTGGTTTGTTTATTTTGTATTTTTAATATTGTATACAATTAGCTGAAGCCAGCAACTAAATCAATCATCAGTTCCAGCCCAAATTCATTCTAATAAAACAAAAAAAAATTGTGATTCTGTTAAAACTTCAACTCAGCACTTTCTTTGAAGAAGTAAATCTCTTAAACTTACTTTGATTTGGTGTTTTTTTCCCCTTAAATACACATAAACCAGAAAAGTAAACAAGAAAACTTCTTATGATCCTATCTGTAACGTAGTCAGGAGAAAATATCTTTAAATCTGAGCTTCATCCCACAAACAGCCTTGAGACAAGGCAACAAAAGGAGCACAAATGAAGCCCTGAAGGTTTGTGATGTGAGGATGGATCGCCTCAGAAGGTCAACATTCCCATTATTCTTCACCGCAGCTACATCAGTGCTGCAGCCCAGCCCTCTGCTCACACCAACTCCTCTCCCAGCTGCCAAGTTCAGTTGTTTATTCCTCTGGAAAAAAAAGTGCATTAACTCCGAATGGGTTTCTTTTCTTCTTCTTCTTCTTGCATCTGGGCTTGAAAAGGGCTCCCTGTAAAATGTTGGCAGAGCTCAACCTGCTGTAAAAAGCAACACGAGGGTGTGTAACGCTGATGATTTACAAAGGTCACAGTCTGTGTAGTTCTGCAGCCAGTCCATGTAGTTCACTCACAGCAGCAGGAGGCAGGCTTACATTTCAAGCTGTGTGTCCTTACTATGTCACGAAAAAATGGTGAATGTATTTAATTTTTTTTTCTTTGTTCCTCGTGTGTAGATCAAACAGAGAATGCCAAATTGACCAGCATCACCGTAACCAGTGCCAATACTGCCGTCTGAAGAAGTGTTTCCGCGTCGGGATGCGCAAAGAAGGTATCAAAGCTTCTCACACCGCTGCATAAAGCTGGTTTCTCCTCCAGATGCACATACAAATACTCACACACCTTCGGTTTTTACACATTTTCTCACATTGCAACAAACTTCAATGCATTTGAAAACTGAAACTTGTTTGGATTTTGTTATAAATGCTTTGTTGAAGAAATACAAGTTAGAATTTTCTCTTAACCTCAAACTTTCTCTGAACAGTTCTTTGTTGTTGTTTTTGTTGTGTTTAATTTGGTGGAAATCATTCAGTAAAATAATTTAATTTAGAGAAAGAAAAACATTCAGAGGTGCATTTATATATGTGTGCATAAAATATAACATATATTTATATTTTAAGAAGCAAACAGGGATGTGCAAATAGCAGCAGGGATGTAGTGATGGCTTGGAGTCTAACAGCTGCTGGGAGGAAGGATCTGCGATAACGCTGCTTTGTGCATCCAGGATGCATCAGTCTGTCTCTGCAGCTCTTCAGCTTTATTAACGGGGTGGGAAACATTTAAGGTCAGACTAATGCTAATAATTTAGACACAATGCTGCTCTAGACCTGAATAAGCAATAAATCAGTTAATTACATAATAAATTAAGAGAAGTGCAATAATTTCCATTTCAATAATTTATTGTTTTCTCTCTTCCTACTGAAAACTGGATGATAAAAGTTTTCAGTCTGGTGTTTTGGTCTCAGCTATCCTTTGAAGGACACATTTGTTTCCAGAGACTTCACATTTCATTTTATTTGTTGTTTCTATTATTTTGTTTATTTGTCTTGGACATTTAAAGTGTCTTCCAGTTCCATTATAATTTAAAGTTTATTTATCTTTGAGAATATGTTCTTGCATTTTTGTGCCATTACTATTATATCATTACTATTATATTACTTGAAAATAGTCTCAAAACAACATTATCATTTATCACAATAAGTCTTGGGACAATTTATGTCCCAGTAAAATGGTGCCGGCCATGTGACCCGAGGACAGTATTTATACTGTCAACCTCAGCATGTTTTCACGCTGCAGCTGGATCCCCTGCAGCACCGCTGCTGCAGGCAGTTGCATTTAATCCTCAGAGGAGTAAAAAACAAGAAAGTTAATGATTGCACTGAATGTATTCGTCTTAACGAGCTGTGTGTCACACTGTTCCCACAGATTTATCCCACATAACGAGCTATTAACACCTAAGAATGAGGCGTGTGATCACAAAAAACTGTGATTTATATATTAGAAACTGCGTCACACAGTCAGATTAAAGTCAGTTTCTGAAACTCCAGCTGGACCTGGAATTTATGTGCTTTCATTGTAATCTCAGTCCAGTTTGTGGTGCTCTGCCACACACAGCCCACAGTGGGTGGCAGCGCGCCACAGTTATTAATGAACTGGAGACGTGACGCAGATCCAACTGTTTCCACATTACCTGGAAGCGTCCGCTTCACCTCTGACCCAGTCAGCTGACCGCGTTCTGAAAGATTCTTCCGTCGGAGCTGCGGTTCAGAGGAGAGACGAGAGGAGAAACCTGCAGCAGAGGAATCTCTGTCTGCTGCTACATGACTGCAACTCTGTCATGTTTGTCAACCCTTTATCAGTGCAGTTTGTTGTCATCTCCACTGGTAGAAAAAAAATTAACATTGCACAATTTATTATTCAGATTTTAAGTTAAATTTTTAAATCAAATGCATTTCTTTTTGTTTCAATATAACCAGTTTGGTTTTTTTATAGTGTTGAACTTTGTCACATTTTGTGACTTTACAGCCGTAACTTCAAACTATTTTTCTGGACTTTATCAATCTAGAAAGTTGTACTGATCAATTTTACTAGATCATCTATTAAAATAGACATCAGAAAAGTGTTTTTTTTTTTAATTGCCTTTTTTAACCAGAACTTTTTTTGGTTCAATCTATGCTGCAAATCTGAGGTTTGTTTCCAGCAGCTTTTCAAATCTATAGTCTGAAATTCAATTATATTATTTTTCAAAAAGAAGTTCAAATTCACTCAGACCATCTGGAGAGCATATGTCTAAAACTCTCAATTCAGCTTAGGTCAAGACTTGGACTAGGCCATTCTTACCATATGAATGCACATCAATGAAGGTGATTCACCATCTAAAGTTGCTTTTTGTCACCAATTGAATCAAAAACAAAACAACAATCGTTGTTACAGTCAAAAGCACTCCAACTACAAAACAAAGAAATTCAAATCAAGTAAATATAATTCAAAACCGTTGTACAAAGCAAGAGGTTTATACATCAAATATTCAGCTTATTTGCGCCGCCAACCCTAATGAGTTTGCTACCATTAAACAATTTCCACTCTTCATAGCTTTAGTATAACAAATATTTACAATATTTACAAAGAGAACTTATAGATGCAGGAAAATTTGGGCTCTTCTGTTTACGCTTTTGCCTCAATGTCCTGATAATAATGGAGGATAATTGAACAATAATGCATCAGGTGTTCAAAGCCTTGAACACCTGATGCATTTCATAATTATGCAAAACTTTGTGTTGTTTTGTCACATAAAATATAAAAAACAGACAGTGAAAAGAGAAACAGCGGTTTAGATAATAAGGTCATACAATGCTAGAGCCAGTGGTTTGTTCGATAAATGATTAAATATGAACAGATTCGCAATAGTATTTAATTTCTGGGGAGGGAAGGGCACCTAGTGGAGGGGCGCGAAAAAAATATGATCCCTGGGGGGGATGACAGAAAATAATTGAGAAACACTGCCAATAATTTATTTTTTTATTAACATTTCCGTTCTTCTGTTCTGCTCCCCTGCAGCTGTCCAGCGGGGTCGAATCCCTCCGTCTCACTCAGGTATCAGTCCGAACTCCCTGTCTGGAGGACCTGGGGGTCCGGGCCCGGGTCACATCGGGGCGGACTACTTCAACGGCCAGCCGGTGTCGGAGCTCATCTCCCAGCTGCTTCGGGCCGAGCCGTACAGCAACAGCCGCTACAGCACCCCCTACACTCAGACGCAGATACCTGCGTCGGCAAGCGGCGCGTCCGTCATGGGCATCGACAGCATTTGTGAGCTGGCCGCCCGCCTCCTCTTCAGCACCATCGAGTGGGCCAGAAACATCCCGTACTTTCCAGAACTCCCCGTCTCAGAGCAGGTCAGTCCGACATTTGAAACCTGTCAGGTTAAATTCACGTTTGGTCATCTTTGTCTGAACTGTTTCTGAAAACAACCCAAGTGCTTAAAATGAGCCGATCAAAAACCTTCACAAATCAGCAGGCGTTACCTAGCAACCACAGTGAAACCCCGCCGTCACCTAGCAATCTCAGCAAAAAGCAAAAAGACAAGTGTTTTGTTGTTGACTTACCATCCAGAAACCACTTGCTGTATTCATGTTGGTTGTGCAGGAGGCGCCACTTCTGCCTTTCAAAGATGTATGGTTGTATAATTGCTCATCTGTTTTCAGCCGTTTTCCCTTGCGAGTGTAAACGTTGAGGTGGTGGGGAGAGGCCAGCAGCAGCTTGTTTGGATTCAGAAGGGGTAGTGTTATGTTAAAAAGACATTTTTGAGCTTTACCTCATGATTTCATTGTTATTCCATCATCATAAACAAACCTGGAGTGTGGCTTTGACTCTTTCATGCATGTTTGAGAAATCCTTTCATCTCCATGGCAACCATTCAGCTGTGCTAAACGCCTTCAGAGCTGCAGCAAGTTTCCAAGCTTCCGCCTCACAGACCAGCTCTTTCCCGTGAATCCCTCACTCTGCTCCTACAGACTAGCCAGCAGAAATTAGCAAACATCTGCTGAGCTCATTATAGGAGCTACTTCTCAGTGCAACTCTGGTAAAAACTTTGTTAAAGGGCTAATAGAGGAGCCATGTGATGACGACGTCATGAAGTCATCACAACAGAGTTTCAGTAAGAGCACCAGCTTCTTAAGAGACAAAGTCGAATTTCTTTAAAGTCATATTTAATATATACAGCATTTTTTTACCTGAAGTTGATTGTACTATAAATGACACTGTGCGCCTGGAAAACATAATCCTGGTCCTTTAAGGACTTTAATTAGTCAATGAGTTGGTGTGAAACAGAAAGCTTCAAAAAAATTCCACTTTGTGTTTAAGTTGTAGTGCCATTTTAATTTAATTTATTCTTAAATTGTGGTTTGTGGGACTTTGAATGCCTCAAGCTAAGCTAGCAATATTTTCAGTCAACTAACATCAGCTAACAGCAGATTAATTTAATAAAATAAAATGTTAAGGTCTAAAAATCTGATGTAATTTCTTCAGTTCAAATGAATAAAATACGTGAATAAAGCAAAATTGTCGCCTGGCCCTGCAGTTTCTCCCTGTTTAACTCTGTGCATGTCGGCCTGCAGGTGGCGCTGCTGAGGCTGAGCTGGAGCGAGCTGTTCATCCTGAACGCGGCGCAGTCCGCCCTGCCGCTGCACATGGCGCCCCTGCTGGCTGCCGCCGGCTTCCACTCGTCCCCCATGTCCGCTGAGCGCGTGGTGTCCTTCATGGACCAGGTCCGGGTGTTCCAGGACCAGGTGGACAAGCTGAACCGGCTGCAGGTGGACTCCGCCGAGTACAGCTGCCTCAAAGCCATCGCCCTCTTCTCTCCCGGTACGTCCGAACGCTGACTGTAACTATCTGCGCTGCGATCTGACTCCAGGCTCCTTCAGGGGAAACCAAAACAAATCAGCCCATTTGATGTTTCGGCCGGGTTCAGATGTCACAGAAACAAAACACCGCCAGCTGCAGGGAGGCTGTTGGTTTGGGTTTGACCTTTGACCTTACTGAATACGGGGAAACAATGGAAAAACTCCTTTAAAGCAGTAGTCTGACGTGTGTCTCAACAAGCTATTAGGTAGATGAGAAGCAACAAAAACACGTCGTTTAGTCACCACAAAGGCTGAAATCAGTGGAAAACTTTTACCACCTTTAATACGTAAAATACATTTTAATACATATTTACTGTTTAAAAGTAAAGATGCTCCAAGAAAGCAACTGATTTTCAGCTTGTTTAGAACAATCAGTCAGAAAAGTCAGAAAAGTTTTTGTCAAGCATTAAATAAGAGCGAGAAAGAGACAAAACTGACCCAAATTTCTTCTCTACATATTTCAACCAGAGCTGCTTAATTAAACATTTGAGACTAAGTCACTACTTTGAGTTATGAAGTTTCACAAGTTTTTAAGGCTGTTTGAATATATTATATTCAAGTTTAGAAATGTCCTCTACAGAGGACAAAATGAACTACTGGTAGTCAGGAGGATATTAGATTCGTCGTGTTGATGCATTTTGACCTGCTTCAATTTTCCGCCGCAACACGCAAACTTCCCCATTCACTCAGTGCGTCATAGTTCCTCATCGCTTAGGATTTGTTGCTGCGCGGAAAGAGGAGACCAGCTGCACGGCAGGCTGCGAAATGAGATGCAGGTGATCGGTTTGTGTGATCGGCAACAAGAGACCGTGATCGGCGATCACCGATTATACACTTTTTCACGGAAATCGGCTGATTACGATCGGTGGCTGATCGATCGGCACACCTCTAATTTAAATGCTTATGCACTTTGAGTCAAACTTACCGCAGTAATTGCTAATAAAAAAATACTAAAACCATTTAAAAATGAGCAAACTGCATTTCCTTATGAATATATTAAATCTGTTGTATGAAAAATCAGTGAGCTGTGAAGAGTTAACACAGTAAATCTGTTTTACAGAAACTGCTCTCTGTAAGTCAAATATTTTCCTGATATAAAAATGTAATAAAAGCTCAAAACAAGGTTAGAGAAAGATGTTGATGCTTCTCTTTTGCATTTTCATAAAATGGGAGAAATAAAACTCGAGAGGTGTGAAGCTTTTCAAAACCAAAAATCAACTGAAGGTTTTTTACCTTGAAATGAATGACATTATTTTAATCATTATTGTGGCTGATGGATGAGTTCATTCAGTTTGTTAAACTCTACAAGCATCTGCAGGGGATTAGAAAATATTTCTCTAACAGACATAAAAGTGCCATTATTTACTCTTGTGACGTAAAACACTATTTTAGATGTGCAAACATATTCAGTTATTGCTTTTCTTCATTATATACTGCTTATCTGAAGGTCTTTATTTTGACTATAGCTACTTTATTCATTTACATCCCAGTAAGTGATTCTCTTCAGGTGAAAGTATTTAGTTTCCAAGCTGCTGACCTCTGACCTTTGAATCACTCAGGCTTTAAAATGCACTTTAGCTTAAAAAAAGAACCAGTTGCGTCGACATAACAAACGTAGACAGAAGCATTTTGTTCCCAGCAGGCTGTTGGAGAAATGAGTTGTTTAATCTGCGAGTAATCCAAATGAAGAAACTGTTTTATGTGAAGAAGATTATTTTATTTCAGCATCATCAAAGTAATTTAAAAAATACCATCTGGGATCTTTAAGTTTCTGTGTTTCCATTTTCTCAGAGAAATGATTTCTTTCAGTAGATGGTAAATTTCTAAACCGTTTCCAGCAGCCCTGTCATTCAGATGATTTCTGTTTCCTCCCTGGCAGACGCGTGTGGCCTGTCCGACCCGGCCCATGTGGAGTCGCTGCAGGAGAAGGCGCAGGTCGCCCTGACCGAGTACGAGCGACTGACGTACCCCAGCCAGCCGCAGCGCTTCGGACGCTTGCTGCTGCGCCTGCCGGCTCTGCGCGCCGTGCCGGCGAACCTCATCTCTCAGCTCTTCTTCATGAGGCTGGTGGGCAAGACGCCCATCGAGACGCTGATCCGAGACATGCAGCTGTCGGGGAGCTCCATCAGCTGGCCGTACGCGGCGGGACAGTGAACGACCCGCCAGGTCGGAGAGAGACGGGCTGAGGTCAGACTGTCGGGAGGCGTCGCCATGGAGGCGAGCTAGGGCTGGGCGGCGGGGCTGAAAAATTAAATCTACCATTTTTTTCGTACCAGATCCGATTTCCGATTTTAATTGATTTTTTTCTTTAAACAAAAAAAAAAAGAAGAAGAAATTTTCAAAGAGCAGCTTTTGTTTCAGTCATTCATTCTGTTGGTTGTACGGCAGAACATTTGTGCCAGTTTATTTACAGGAACACAGTCATAATATCAGCAGAATAAAGACACAACTTTACCAGAAAAACTTATGAGAAAAAAAGTCATTTTAATAAGAAAGCTTGGATATTTTCTTGTGTTGTAGTTCTGATAAAACTTCATCCTCCTAATATTCAGATTTTATTCTCGTACTGAAAACAGAAAAACATCTTAGCCTGACCCATATTGCCATAAAGTTTACCTGAATTCATAGCCCAAACAAACAGAAGCTGTAAAACAAGATGGCGGCTCTTGGTGATATTACATCACTCTGAACCATTTATGTCAAACTCGAGGTGCGGGGGCCAAATCCCGCCCACCAGAAGTATTTTTGTGGCTCTTTAGACTCTTAAATATAATTTTATCAGTCAAACAAAAGTCATTTTTATCTGTATGCTGCCAAATTACATGTTCAGTATTATTTAATTTCAACTTCCAGCTTTTTATTAATAGTTTTACAGTTTGTTAATGGGTTTTATTAATGCATTCTGCCAGAACCGGCTCTTTGAGAACGTTAGTAATTTTGATACGGCCCAAAATGAAAATGAGTTGAACCAAAGGACTGAAATGGTGAAAGAAAAAAGGTTTTCCAAATATTAAATGTTTATAAATTGCTTCATCGCCCAGCCCTACTCTGGTTTTCAGGTCCTGATTTTGTCGTTACGGCAGTGAGGAAACGGCGGCGCGGTCCTGCAGCGCTGTCAGTGGCGTTCCCTCCTCTGGCTTCGTCTCCCTCTGAGCGAACAGGGAGGCCATGTGGGCCGCCACATGGCCTCTCTCACATGAGGCCATGTGCCTCCTCTACCTCCTCCCACATGACCCCCAATGTGACTCCAGCTGAACCCGGCGCTGTGTGCTCTCCTGTCTCTGTTGTCCAGTCTAAATTAAGCCATAGCAGCCAGATCAAGGCTGGGACGTTTTGTAGGGATCACAAACCCAGGAGATGTAAATACGAGTCAGTGCTGTGGAGAAACTATTCACCCCCTTACAGACTGTTTTGGTTTTGAAAAGCTCAATTGTTCACTGCAAAAAAACAAGATATAACCAGATATCTTTGGTCTAGTTTCTAGTGCAAATCCTTAGCGCAATTGGAATAAGACAAAAGTGACTTTTCTGCTTGGTTTTAGTGAGTATTAATTAATAAAAAGTACAAGTTCCCCTGACAGATCATTTCATCTATTAATATTGTTCCCGTGTTGTAAGTAAAACAATCCAGTGAAATATGAATCCTTTGTATTCATATTCAGGAACTATTGACAAGCTGAAAAGTTTCTTTTAACTCTTCTAGACCGAACGGTCCGGTGACGATCCAGCCAAATTTACAGTACCGTAATTCACTTTGCACTATCTGAAAGGGGAGACGTTTCACTTTCCAGCCAATATCGGGTTATTACGGTAATTTCACTCCAGGACAGAGTGAAATTAATCTGAGTGGCAATCTTTCAATAGATGGTAAATTTCCAAAAATAACTTGCTAGATACTGAAAGTTCCAGTTCTGGACAAATGGGCAAATATATTTACTCACAGGTCAATTAAAGAACAATTAAAAGAATAAGTTTTGTCTTATTTCAAGTGCACCAAGTATTTGCAATAGAAACTGCAGTACTTGGTAAGGTTTTGTGTTTTTGCAGTGTTTGCTTTCTCTAAACCTACAAAGATGTAGAACAATTAGAGCTGCTCTTAACTGAGAAACATGATGTCTGCAGCGGCTTAGATGTTGCTTTGTGACGTCCTGGAAGAGTTTTTGAAGTGCTTCTCTTTGGCCTGTCATTGCTAGGAAGGTTCACCATGGTTCCATGTTTTATTCATTTGTGGTCAGTGTCTCACATTCTGGGTTTCTGGGGTTCAGAAGCCTCAGAAACGGCTCCATAACTCTTTCCACACTGACAGATGCCAGGCTTTGTTCTCATAGGTCATTTCATTAGATTGGGGCATGATGTGCAGCTTTTACACGTCTTTATGTTGCCAGACATGTTCTGTTTCACTCATTTCTTGACTCTTTGGGTCTGAGCTCGGCTTTCTAGTTAAATCATGATTCAACAAGTTTGCCCAGGCTGCTATGGAGAGGTACGCTTCTGAAATTAAAATTAGCTTCTTGTGAAAATGAAGAGGAAAACAACATCTGTAAGGAGGGGATTTTGTTCACAGCACTGTACATAAACAGAAAGTGTTAGCTCTACTTTTTTTTTATTTGCAAATACCTTAGTTTTTTTTTTTTTTTTTTCTTGTTAAGACGGGGACCTGTCGTGTTTCTCCGCAATGATGCAAATGTATTAAACGTTAAAACACAGCCTGGTTGTTCAGACAGTCACGTCCCTGTGGATATTTTTATTACCTCATGTTTTCTTCACCACAGACATGGATTGTATGGTGAACTTACTGATGTGTTCATGATAAAGGGATCAACCGCGGCATCGGATTTCGCCTGAAGCATCTTTGAGGATTCTTTAAGCCTCACCTGGGATGAAACAAGATGGCCGACTCAAGTGAATCTTTTATGACGACTTTTTGCTCCCTGGATGCTGTTTCCTTTTCCTTTGCTTTTATAAGTGTTGATTTATTTCTTCCCCACTTTACTCCCCCTTTAAGAGATGAGTCGTCTCCAGATAATTATGATGATGATGATGATTATGATGAACGGTACGTTGATGTTTAGACGTGACTTTAGGATCCAGGTACTTCGTAGTTCATAAAGGCTGTGAACTACAGAAACTCTTTATTTTTGCCAAACTAATAATTGATTAAACATGTTTTGGTGTGACTTATTTTTCCTGCTATAAGATTTTTAAAAAGGCAGTAAGAGCCGTGATCCCTGGTGCATCAGTTTGTGTTTATTTGTTAGTATTTTGACTTTAGTGATTTAACCGTGGCAGTAGATTTACATGTAAACGAATCATGTTTCATGCCAAAACTAAAAACTGCTAAAGAAGTTTGTCTGCCTGACTCGTCATTTGTTGGTAAATAGATGTTTCTATGATTCATAAGCGGTGGACTTTAACACTATTTATCTATGAGTTATTTCAAATTTTTCTTCCATCTTCTGCCTCCTGAGCCTTCGTTCTCTTTTCTTTTTTTTTTCAAGAGGAAAAAATTTGTGTCGTCCCAGAAAATCAACACGTTACCGAACGTGACAAATTTGAGTCAATTTTAAAGAAAATGGTTCAATTTTATTATTTGACAGTAAGTGTTGGAGGTGCTAATAAATTCAGCACAAATGATTATAATGAAAACAATTATTTCATAACATGGGATCTTCTACCGCTGAATTAAACCCCTCAAATTAAAGGTTAGATTTCTATAAAAGTTTTACATTACTGCAGTGAAAGATTTATTTTAAAGCTTCTCTCTTGCTGAGATCGCTGAATTTGGTAAGCTTTTATTGGCTATAAAACAGGAACAGATACATTTACAAAGTGGGAAAAGAGGGAAACAGGTTTGTGTAGTGTGGTGGTTGCAGCATCATGTGGGGCAGTTTTGGTACAGCAGGAAATGGAGGACTTCATAAAATAGATGGCGGCATGAGGAAAGACCATTATGTGGAAATACTGAAGCAACATTTAAAGCATAGACACAGATTGTTCTTCCAAATGAACAATAAAAACTAAATAAATTGTTTTCTGTGATAAATTGTCAAAATTGCTTATTTTGAGTTTTATATTTATGTTTCTGGGTGAATTTTGTTATTTTTGTGCATTAGTGTTGCTTAAAACAGTCTCACTCAGCCATAACTCCAGGAAATACATGTAAACTTCTGTTTTTAATGACATAACTCTGTCACATATTCTCTCTCTCATTAATGTGGCATTTAGCAAATAGAAATAATTTTGTCAATTCTAACTGACCTAAAACAAAATACATTTGATCTAGTTTAACTTCAGACAGGGAGGGAAAATAAATTATATTAATATAAATTAGTTAATATAAATTACATGTAATTTTTATTAACTGCATGTAAACTTCTGGTTTTAATTGTGCATTTACTTATGAAACAAACTAATTAAAGATAAAATAAAAAGTTGCACTTAGATCAAATATTAATGCCTCCAAGTACTCCTTCATCAGGCAGCTTCATCTCAAATCATCCATTTTGACAGCTAAAGAAAGATAATCTGCCGTTTTTATCATAGATTGACACAAACGTATGAGAATAGGACAGATTATGACATCAGATTAACAGTTTTTACGAAGTTAAACTGGACATTGGTTGAAATCCTGCGCGGTTTGTGTGCGGCAGTTAGAAGTGACATAAATAACTGGGATCATTTCACTGGTTTACCACTAGAGGGCAGCAGCAGTCAGCATTAGACTCACCGTACTTGTTCGCTGGATCGCTGTAGATCCAGTCATCCTGCGCCCCCTGCTGGACGTTCACTGTACAGGCAGAGCGGCCGGTTTCACCAAACCAACAGAGCAGCAGAGACTCACGTTGTTGAGAATTAGATGTTTATTAGGTGCTAAATTAACACTTTGTAGACAACATAATTTATATAGGTGTACAGTTAAAAAAAAAAAGTATTTTATGACTGCAACAATGAAAATAAATGTCTTACAAAAATAAATGGCTCAAAAACGTTTTTTTAAAAAGACAATAAAAATCTTCATAAAAATGAAAATGCAAAACAAATTAAAGGCAATTTTAAAATCTACAGCAGATTTTTTTTTTTTGCATTTGACAGAAAAATTTGAATATTACAGCAGACTGAAATGAAGAACAGTGGAGTGCTCATGATAGAAAACATAAAACCAGTTTGATTCATTTTACTAACCAGATTTTAAATGACACTGATTAAAAAGTCTTCAGTACATAATAATAATAATAATGCTCTACAATCTGGCATAGACATAATTTCTGTTTGCTCTTGATATGTAGTATGAAATGAATTCCTTTAAAGTATGTACAGTACAACACAGTATACCACAATGGTTGTTTTATCCACTTTTTGGTTTCATCATAGTTATGAGTCAATAAAAAAAAAAACAGTACAACGTTCCCACAGGTTGGCAGTTCTCTGATGGTTAAGGTGACTGCAAATACTGACACTTACGTGAAAAAAGCTCAAGTGAAGCACGTCTGCACCAAAGATTAACAGAGCTGCATATTTCCTGCCAAACAATCCCTGTTTGCAGTTCAACCTCTGCCTGCGTCTGCAGGTTGGTGTTACCTCAGCTGACTGAAGATCAGTTTCAAACTCCTGCTCTCTCCTCTGTTCTATCAGGAGAAGCTACCTCTGTCAAAACCGCCTTCATTTTGCTCCAATAAACAGACGAATGACGGTTAGTGATGAGAAAATGAAAGTAAACACAACTCTTAATCATTATTTTCCCGGGTAAGCTCACTGTGCTTTGTACTGAGTGCAGTGTGAGTCTGGGTGTGTGTGTGTGTGTGTGCTGTAACTTTGGCCTCAGCATGCTGCAGTCTCTGAAGTATTAGGGAGTGTAGCTCGATGTAGTGGTTTTTGCAGTGCGGCCCACAGAGCGGTGAGCCGGAACAGAGCGAACCCTTCAGTGGTTCTTGTCGTAGTCCTTCACCATTCGCTTGATGTGGAACAGTTTGTGCCTCAGCCTGCGGCACTCCCTCTTCTTAGTCTGGTACTGTAAAGTCTGCAGAGATGTTTGCTCAATTAGCCGAATAAAGAAACAACCTGGAATCTACAGAAAACTGCTTCCCACTGCAGTTTATATAAACCATTCAGCTCACCTGCTTCAGATCCTTCAGCTGATTATATTCCTCTGCAACAAGCTGAGAGACAATAACATACAAGTCATTATGTGTTATTTACAGATTCTTGTCTCTTCTTCTCTGGCAGAAAAATCCTCAAACAGCACAGAAGAAACAAAGAGCCAAGATATTTCAGCAACATCCTAAAGCTCTAGGTTAGCAGATTAAGTGAGACATTTTATTTTAATGGAACGTTTTTGATAGAATAGCACAAAATATCACATACTTGTGAAAAGAAAAGGAGACAAGTTTACGATTTTAAACATTGTTAACACAAAAAGCTGAAAACTGTGGAATGTATAAGAATTCAACCAATCAGTCAATTACTCAACATTCGCTGTGTTTACAGGACGTGTTTTTAACAGCTTTTTGCACATTTAAGACTTTTGACCATTCTTCTTTGGAAAACAGATAAGATAGAGAGAATCTGAGAACATCAGTCTTAAAGTGTGAACTTTTCAAACGCAGTGAATATTTTTTTATTTAAACATTTGACTCCAGGTCTAAACCTGCAGGGCAACCAATCCAGTAACGCACTTTGTTGATCTATAACACAAAGTCCCCAAAAACACTCTGAAGATTTTAACCTGACGAAATGTGAAAACGTTCAATAGGTGTGTGAATAAATTAGCAAGTCACTAATCGATATCCCTTCCTATGCACTTCCAAAAACACCCCAGGACCTTTATTAACTGGAATGTATTCCAGCAAAGATTAAAGATTAGTGTGTTTTTAGTCTTGAAAACAATAAATCCCATTATCTGTCTTGAAAATAGCTAAGGCAGATAAAACTGTGCAAATATGAAACATTTTAAGGTTTTTAAGCTGATATCACAACTGTAGCAACTTTAGTCCAGTTCATTCCTACAAAATGCCAGAAAAAATCTTATCTTATCATTTTTCTGCTGAAAAGTTGAAGGTTTGCCTATAAACAGCATTCCTGACTCTTGGACTTTGTTTTGCAAAATAAGGGAAGAATCTGAGCTAAAGAATCCAAACAACACGTCCATCTCCGTCTGATAGTTTGTTTCTGCTTAAACACTCAGCCTAACATGGTTATATGATAATATCAAACCTGGTATTTAGCAGAGCTCTCGTCGAGTGTGTCCAGTTGCCGGCTGAGTTTGTTCAGCCGGTCGTTGACGTCGTCCATCTCTGCACACAGGCGCTTGTAATCGCGCAGGTCTGCATCAAACTCTCTCTTGTATTGCTGCCTCTGAGAATCTGAAGTTATCGTCGGGTACACACTGTTAGGCAGACGACGAAAAAAGATTAAAAAGATCAGACTTAACAGTTACACTCTTCAATCTGAGAAATCTGCAATCATTATATTCGGTAGAGTCAATATTCAAATGTAAATGGTTTTCTGAAATATTTGTTTAGGTTCTGTTGTTGCAGACAGATTTTCTCTGATTATTGATTTTTGTCTTTTAAAGAAGTCCCAACAGTCTCAGTCTATCAAACAACTGAACTGAACTTCAATTCGCTCCGAGTCACATAAAGGTCAGGGATGTTTTCTTTGATGCATAAATGGGGATAATCTTGTAATTCCTTTATTTAGGGTTGGATTTAAAATAACATCCATCAAAAAAACAACACTGCTTTCGTTCTTTTGCAGTTTTCAGATAAAAATATTTTAGATTGGCCGGTGAATCTCTCCATTTTACCTTTGTCCTACTTCTCTCCGACTGAAAGCAAGCATGTGAACGAGCGTGCCTCAGAGGATTAACCCAGGAATACACTCTAACTTCTTGCAGTCGTGTTGCGAAGGCACTCACCATCTTTTAGCTCCTCGCAACACCTAGAGAACATTTTTAAAACCAAAATAGGGCCTGGCTGCATCAAATTATTGTCACATAAGCTTGTTTCCCAAAGCTTATTCATTGATGTCAGAAAATGTGGGTCTGGTCCTGAGGGAGAAACGGAGCTTCACTCTAATCTACATGTTCGGTTCTTAATGACATTTTCATCCCTAATCCAGGCAGTGAGTCAGAAGCCCAAAGGTAGAAACTTGGTTCTCACCTATCCCATTCCTCCATGTCCAGTTCGTTTCCCGTCTCTCCTCCTGTTGTGTACTCCGTTTCGTACTGGGACTCGTCCATGTCCGGGTTGCGTCTGCGCCTCTTGCCCCTGTTGGCGGACGGCCGGCGGCCTCCCGTCTCCTCCGAGGGGCTGGAGCTCGTCCTGCCGCCGTGGGAATACCCCTCTAATGG